TAAATTTTTTTTTTTTTAAATTGCTCAACGGTCATAAAAATGCAGATTTCTTTGATTTCATTATTTTGATGAGTGCCTGATTTCACCATGATGCCTCACATATATTTTGAATTCAATTATTATTATAAATTGAAAGATTTGGTCACAAAATACAATTTAACCCAACATGTTTTGCTCATGCACATAAAAATAAGTAGTAGGCCTACCTGAAACGACATCTTGAATTCACTCGGGGCTATGTCACCAGCTGGTGCCGTGACCCACAGGTTCCCGGTATAGTCGAGGCTACAGTCATTACAGCCCTGCATGGTCCTTCCTCCCTCGTCTACTCTTGCCACCTGTACAACAAGTTATGTTGAAAGTGAACAAGATGCAGTTGCGAGCGCCGTACAACCTTACTAAAACTAAAAGTGAACAAGAAGTATTTGTTTTAGTAAGGTTTTACGGCATGCACAACGGTATATAAGGTCATATCGCCAAGGGGTAGATGTCAACAAAGAAGTCCAAATGGGGCGGGAATCAGGCTTACTCTGCTCACCTCTCTAGCCTCAATAGCACAAAGTCTGCTTCGACTATCAAAGCACCCTGGAAATAGCAGTTCACAAGAGAGAGACAAACATACAAAAGAAGTAGAGGAAAATGACGATAGTAAGGATGAGGAAAGAAAAAGCAGCAATTCCCTCCTATGCTGTTCCGGCACAGTGTGAGCATGACATTGATAAATCAGCCCATTTACAATTCTACTGTGCACAAGAACATGTTAATATCCCCCCCCTCCCCCTTTGGGAATGGCCTAAATACACTTCAGTCAGTAGCACTGCTGGGTAAACAAGAGGTACAACATAAAAATCATGCAACATAAGTAAGTAGATAAAATGTATGCTTTAAAAAACAGCTGAACTGGGAAAAATAATAAATGCGGTACTTTTCACTGAATCATATTGAATGCATTGTGTATGAATTTGCTTCTCCTTTTGCAGAATATGAACTCAACCAGTCCGTTCTTTCCAAATAATGTGACACAGTGTGAGATACTGAATTGTTTTTTTTAAAAAGGCGTTGGTAGCCTAGTGGTTAGGCTACTGGACTCGTAATCGTGAGATTGCAGGTTCGGAGGTTCAAGCCTCAGCTCGGTCCGACTTTGTGTTCCCGGGAAAGGCACTTTACACGAATTTCCCACTTGGCTCGGTCCTTTCAGATATGGACGTAAAACATGGAGGCCCCGCCTCTTAAATAACCTAATAGAGTTGATAGGGGCATTAAACCTATACCATTTCAAGGAATTTTTACAGTTTTATTGCAGCAAAAAAACATTAAAAAAACCCAATTATCTCTGAGAGTGGCAGCATCTTTCATTAAGTTTTGGTGCAAGTTCTTGAAGTAGTTATCCTTCTTCTTTAGTAAACAAGGTTAAAAGATATATCTGAAGGAGGTTACTTTTACGCCTGACAAAGGATTTTAAAAGAAAGCTGTTGATATCTAAACAATAAAGAGCATAATTTCATAAGAACCTTTCTCTAATATGCTGAACAGCGGTCAAAAATGAATAAAAAGTAAGAAGACATCATTTTGAAAAAAAATCAACCTGCATCACAAGTAGTACTGAAAGCAACTTTGATTTCAATTCGTGACTCCAGCGTAAAAAGACAATTCTACCGATGTTAACCTTTCATTTAAGCACCCTTATTTACTGTAGTATAATACACAATTTAAAATTCAGTATTGTGAACAGTCAATTAACCATAAAGCAATCTGACAAAGACAAAGACAAAAAAAGATTTTTACTGGCAGAAATACAAATCATGACATTTCATGGGAACGTATGATGATATGTATAAGAATGTATGATGATATTCATAAAAACATACGATGATCACTCAATTTCATGATTAAGCATGGAGCTTGTCTGTAAATTTCTAATGCAGATCGGAAGGGGAATTATGAGAGAGATGGAGAGAAGAGAGAGAGTATAATGGGTGGGGGATTGGGAGACCTTATATTTATTTATATATATATGTACGAACTACCTGCGTGAATTCTCCATTAGGTTTGACTTTCAAGATTCCCAGCCTCATGTCAGCGACATATAAGTTGCCCTGCTTGTCAGCTTGGCAACCACACGGAATTCCCCCATCACCGTTAACCTGAGGCTCACACAAAACAGTTTTCTGCAAAAGAAGAAACAGCATCTGTATAAATTTATTAGAACAATAGTCATCAATCAATCATTCAAATAATGTCAATATCGTGATGCCAAGCCAGAATCAGGAAGAGGAAGTGCTGCCAATATTTTCATATTTCCAAGATATTGCAGGTCATGTGTATAAACTTTTTGTTCACAGCAACAAATTTAATTCCTTTACTTTAAATTCAGCCAACAAACAGAAAACTGCATAATTTTTCACAGCCCTGGACCCTTTCATTTCATTTTTTCTCCTTTTTCTAAAGTGCTCTGGAAAAACTTAGGAGCGTTCACTCTATAAACACTACGCAAAGCCACATGTCACAATACCGCAGTTCATTTCAAACCATCATAAACAAAACAGAACATGAATTTAGTTATGTCCCCACAGTATGCCTTTTTTTGCCTGCCTTTTTAAGTTTAAGAGAGAGTAAACAGAATCGAAAAATGTGCATAAACAACAAACTAATACTTTTTTATAGTCCCCCCAACCCCCCCACACTCACACACACACACACTCTCACGCACACACACACACACACACACACACACACACACACACCCCCCCCCCCACAAAAAAAACAACCCCCAGCCCAATAAGGAGGGTCAGTTATCAGCAGCTACTGGAGAAGTGGCTGCCTCATATCTTCACAATGTGTAAATACCATGTCGTGCAGAGATGATTGGCCCAAGAGCTCTTGACACTTATTAATCATCTTTGGGGCAGGCCTTGTAGTGTTGGCCAAATGCAACTATTTACACAAAATTGTTTACATTCATCATATATTCATATTATATAATCTATAAGATTCAAATTTTGTTGGAAATATCTTCTTTTTTTTTCATAGTTCATGAAATGTTGCACTTAATAAGTTAGTTTTTTTTTTTTGTTAGATCAATCTGGATATATATATATATATATATATATATATATATATATATATATATATATATATATATATATATATATATATATATATACACAATATCATTATCTTCTGTGGTCTTTCTGCTAAATTAACTCAACATAGTTTTAGGTTACATCATGCACAATCATAAGGAATTTTTTAAGAGGCTTGGTATACCCACTTGCAATTACATATTGTTTATATATACTATGATACAGGAGAGAGATTGTGTAGAAGTATGTTTAAAACATTTTTTTCCCTCTCAGTTCACAAGATGGATCAGACAAGAATGAATGAATGATCTCTTCGCTAAATGCTCCTGAACGTTACAAGTACTGCACCCGCAGCAACTGAAGAACAGTCTGCCTCACATCCTCACTATCTGTGAGTACTATGAAGTACTAAGATTATTGTTCAATAATGACAAAGCACAAAAGTTTGCGAGTACAAAAAGAACCAAACGACCTCTGAAAAAAAAGCCTAGTCATTTTCCTATTTTTGTTCAGTTGGAAAATGAGCAGATCAGGGTTTGCAAAGCATTTTATTAAGCTACTTTGCATGTCAGCCAGAAAATAGTGAAATAGTAATAGTTCCTCCATCTGGAATTGACGAAGACCTTTATCATCAAAAAAGGAAAAGAAGTCAATATTTCAAGTAGTAATGACAGTGAAGGAATTAATGGCAAGCAACTTGTAATGTACAGCTCTTCGCAGACAGCAGCACCTTTCTCCTTTCTAAAGATGGGTCATCATGAAAATATTGACTGTCTTGTAAATGAAGCGTGCTTGAAGCCAAAGTTACCATGCTTAAAGGCATGTAATCTATATATAGCAAAAATTTGGTAAGAGCCGTTTAGCGTGCTTGAGTCCGAAACGTGCTTTAAGCCGGCGTGCTTAAAGCCGGCACGGACTGTACGAATCTGATCATTACTGCCTGATTCCCAAAATACATTGTATCATTTTGAATAAATTTTTGGAGAAAAATAGACAAACCTTTTGAATCTTTCGCTTTGCTCAACAACAACAATAATGGGAATAAAAAAGCTCTATCTAGGCCTAAATACTGCATCAGCTGTTTTTGACAATATATGAGAGCAAAACTCGGTGTTTCAAGGTCTACATTTCTCTGTAAATTTACGATAACATCCACATGCAGATCCACTATTTTTACGAGGCCAAGCCAACACAATGTGTTATTTTTTGGCTGCAGAACACAGAAATATGGTCACTAAAACCATTGCAAATCAATGGTTTTCAATAAAATCTCATACTCAATTACAAAACATCAAATTATGGGAAAATACAGAGGACATAGTGAAACCCTCCCAGATTAAAAAAAAACAAGTGACTTTTCTTTGGCGTCACGAATAGTTGTATATGTCGCTTCTCCACAGCTTTCCATCTCCCCTGTCGGCACATATGGCCATTATTGTTGCAACTGAGTTCAGTGCCAGATGCACCTGTACTTTCGGTTGTGACTGAGGGTTGTTGGCACCTCTGGTGCTGTCACCTCTGACACTGATACAGAAATTTCTTCTTCTTCCGTCACTGGAGCTTTCATTGAGTAGTGGCTGCGTGTCCACCTGTGGTTAATCGCATTTTCTGAAGAAATGCTGACCCTGATGAGTGTTTGAGCGTCCACCAAACGTACCGACAGGGGAGATGGAAAGCTGTGGAGAAGTGACATATGCAAGTATACGAGACACCAGCTAGAGAATAGCCAGCGATCTATTGACCGGTGCTACGCTGGAGAATAGTCACTTTTATTGCTTTTAAAAAACTCATGTCATTCACTTCATCCTGCACTTTGTCACAAAATCTTGCCTGTAAAAACATGGGATCTGGCAAAATAGTCCCACTTTAAATTTCGTCATTTTAATAAAAGTTTTGCAATGTTCTGTAGCAACAATCTCAAGGGAAAAAATGCGGGAGGTCATTTGAGCAACCTACTACATGTCTGCTTCACATCAATGGTTCAGCATAGATCAACACAATGGTAACGGATACTTGTTTTTTAAAAAAAACTGTGAAAGGTGAGGAATACCAAGATCTAGATATCTAGATCTAGATCTAGATTCTAGATCTAGAAATCTAGAACTAGATCTAGATCTAGATCTAGATCTAATCTAGATCTAGTTAGTTAGAGATCGAGATAAAACACCCAATTTTGAGGACCCCCCTCCCCCCAGAAAAAAAAAGTTTTTTTTTCCTTACATGAAAAGATGGTTAATTTGCCCACGTTCTCTTATTAAGGGTTAAGAAGACCGTGGCTAACCTGTCCTGAGCTCAGGTCAATTCGGACGACCTGACCAGCCGGCTTTGCATCTTTTCTTACTCCAGGAGCAACAACATAAAAAGTGCCGTTACTGTCAAACACTGGGCCTTCTGCTCCTGATACATCGTCAATAATTTTTGAAAACTGTAGAGAGACGACTGTGGGAGCCATAGTGGATAATGCTGAGCTGATACCGAAAACACAGCAACATCAATTGCAGCAGTACATCCCAGGCTTTGTTCGTTGTTGGTGTTCACTGTTCAGAGCAAGTCATCATTGAGGGTCATTGAGGCCCTTTATTTATACTTTGGATGGGCGTGTTGTTTACTCAGGGGAGGCTATTCTCTGGGAGACACCATATTCATTTCAGATAGTCGCAAAGTTTTTAAAATCCCAAATCTGAAGTGATTTGACAGAACTTTATTTGTAAAATGTTTTTAACTCCAAGAGATACGGCATACTAAATACGTTGGAAACAGTGTTGTAACATTTAACACTTTGTTTATTTTGCAACACTTAAATTGACTAGGTAAAAAGTCATACAAGATGGCGACCGGATCGGTTCGCCCGGTCCGTAATCTGAAAAGTGGGCGATACCGAAGTAAGTTCTAAGAAGCACATTCTTCTCTGCATATATTCTCTCGTATTAAGCAAAATCCAAGATCTACATTTTATTTTGCTCTCTCTTATCATGACTGTCTTTTATGTATCCCACAGTTCGACACGAAAGTTCTGAGGATGTTGTTGTCAAACTGGATCTCAGCAAAGGTGACTATCCTGTAAATTTTGATTCTCTTCTTCTTCTTGTAACATAAAAAAAAGTCTTCCGATGTCCGGATCTAGCCCTATATTTACTTCTTCTTTTGGTAAAAGTGTACATGTACTTTTGAGTTCCTTGATATCTTTCAAAAGGCTGTGGTATTGGTAGACTTTGAGAAGAACTTTGAAGAATTGACCCTCTTGTTGTCATTTTGTAATTGAATTGAATGAATTGTGTTGACAGTGTTGTGGTGTTTTGTCAGAATTAAAGGCTAAAGGTGAATCTCTCTTTAGATGCTTCTTGTTCTCTTTTGTATTGCGTACCTTGTTCCTGCTGCTTATGTCTGTTCATTAGCCTACTCTTCTCTTCTACTTCTTGCATTGCTTAAATTTTATGAAGTGGCTAGCCGTACTTAAGTACGGCTAGACTGCCAGTCTAGCCGTACTTAGATCTAGGTTTGGCCCCATCGACTCAAGCCTTTTTAGTACACAGGTCTCATTAGACTTAGATCTAGATCTAGTAATTGTTCAGGTTCAAATACATGCAAGTCAGTAAGGCATCTTTTGGTTTTATCTGAAACGAAGTGGCTAGACTAGACGTACTTAAGTACGGCTAGCCTGAGAGTCTAGCCGTACTTAAGTACGGCTAGACTGCCAGTCTAGCCGTACTTATCTTTGGCCCTATCGACTCAAGCCTTTTTAGTACACAGGTCTCATTAGATCTAGATCTAGTAATTGTTCAGGTTCAAATACATGCAAGTCAGTAAGGCATCTTTTGGTTTTATCTGAAACGAAGTGGCTAGCCGTACTTAAGTACGGCTAGACTGCCAGTCTAGCCGTCATTAAGTACGGCTAGCCTCTTCCTAAATTTTATCACTCTTTGGGGCAATGCAAAGGGGATGGAGTAGTCTGTACACATGAAGCAAGCTAACTTGTCATCATCAAAAAACGGTGTGATGAAATTGAGTGGACATTATAAATTACAACACAGGTCACAGTATATCTCATGTTTATAATTATAACAAAGTCCTCCAGCCTGGCCTTCTAGTTTGTTGAATCGTTTGAACTATAAAGCTAAAGCTAAGGTGTGAGGATTTTTAAGTCGTTGAGGAGGACATCAGTTCTGAGTGCCGCACTGCTAACTTTTACTAGTCAGGTCAGGGGAAAGGGCCTATTTCTAACGTGTCGGCCTATGGCAACCAGTGTTTCCACAGACCTGCTCACAACTCTCTACTAGTTCAATGTATGTTAGATATATAATATAAAAGTAGAATCTTTCACTCTTCAGTTGCCAGGGAATAATAGCAGTACAGTAATCATCAATGTGTCTTAACCCTTAAAAACCCTATACCGCTGGTAACCGCAGGTCGACTTTATCGTTTAATTCCCGGTGCTAGAAACAGGGGATGTAACTCCAGATGACTCTGTCGTGAGCAGAAAGTACCGATAATGTCATGAGAGCAGTTCTACACCGAAAGTTTGAAAATTTTGCAAGTTTTAAAGAAAAATTAGTCACTTTTCGCTGCCAGGCCCTTCAGACTGCAACATTTTTGACATTTTTTATCCTGAACCAGACCCCAATAATGATCTCCCAGTCAGAATATATCGATAAATATGACCGTTGAAGACGATTGCAGGGAATTGGCAGGGGATCACCACTAGAGCTACCAGAGGCTAAATCTATGGCTGGGTCTAATTTTTGACTGAAGTGGAGTCGGGGATCACACACAAGACTTAAATAGAGTTGGTCCTAAAAGCCAGTGTTTTCACCTTTTCCCCTTTTGTTCAGACCGTTCATTTCATATATATAAAGAACATTTTTAAACTGAAGTAAAATCTAACATGTTCAACAATTAAAGACACAGTAAATAAAACAATGAACCAACCTAATTTTTTCTAGTATCTCAATTTTAATCCAGGGTTCTAGGGAGGTATGAAAAAAAAAGAATTCAGGGTTTTAAGGGTTAAATCCCTGTTGACGTTCCACGTCGGGATTGCATATATGCACATGTCGCTCCCCCCCCCCACTTCCACTCTCAAATTCCCATTCGATTGCTGTCTCTCTCTTATTTAGGTCAATCGTTGTGTGTGGTATGTGACACACAATAGACTTCTATACTATGTGTGTAGGGTGATCGATAATCCTGTGGAATTGGCTAGCGTAATAAAAGAGATCTGGTTTACTTGTAGCAGAAGAAACAAAACATGGATGAAGCCACCAATGGTAGGGGACTGATTGCCTTGTAACTTGTGTAACCAATTTAGTTGAATCCAAATCCAAGTCTTGTCTGTTTACACGGATTCGATCTACGAGGTATTTTGTTGATTTTGAGTGATAAGAAAGTACTTCTGCCATTGTTGTTCTGTCGGAATTTTCATTGAATTGGAGTTCCTTATTGTCTCAGAGTATAACTGTAATAAATAATGATCATAAGTAATTTAGTACTTCTATAGTGCCCACTCCTTGGTGGCTTTAGGCTCTTCAGTTTTGTGATAAATTAAAGGGAAAAACAGAATGGTCCTCATAAAGTAATAAAAAACTTTCATCTGTACCTCTCTAACCCAACCCACTATTGACCCCATTTTAGAATCCCAACCATTGGCAGAGGTGCTCTGGTGTGGTTTGCTCTTTCTTTCCCATAAAATAATCTATGGTCCTTATCTCTTTTCCTTCTTTTTTTTGTGTTTGTTACTCCCTTGTAACACCTGTAATCTTGAGCACTTTTATATGACCTTATTGTGTTGCAATTTCCAAGCTGTTCTGCTAATTTTTCTTTCTTTATGCCCCCCTCTATTTTTCCTCTGTCTTAGAGTGATTTTTTTTCAGGCTATTGGTTGTTGTACAAAATGTTAACTGCTTAAAAGCACAGCTAAAATCTTTAAGTGAATATTCAGTGAGCAAATCTTTATTGCTCTGTCTTTTCCAGTTGCTTGCAAACCTGTTTTGAATTCTGTGACCTTTATTTGTAATTTTCGACTGTTTGTTGACAGATCCGGGTGAAAATGTGCGAGAAATTTTGCGCAATGTCATCACCCAGCATGGCGTTGCCAGCAGTAAGAAAACTGCCTACTTGAACAGTTTTGTGAAGCTCATCAAGTCGGTAGGCTATGATGGCAGTTTGGGGCTTCCAATGTCAGAAATTATGCCATGGTAAGATTCATATTTTCCTCTTTTTTTTTTAGTGCTGGTGTAATAACATGTGTTACCGTGGTGTTGGAATTCTTAATCAAATAAACTGAGAAGTGGGTTCATCTATTATATTTACTTTGAAAGGGGGAGGGAGGGGGGTATTTGTTGCTCTCTCTTATTACATGTGTGTGCCAGAATACACCGCTGTTTTGTTTGTGGTTTCGGCTACCGTATTCCTCATCATGATATCGCGGGTTCAGGGGTTCAAGGCTCAGCTTGACCTCACATTTTGTCTTTTAGAGAGGCACACGGTCTTATTGGAGATTGAGTCCAATCTTGTTTGATTTGGAGGTCGCGCCTCTTAAATGACCTTACAGTATTGCAAGGGGGGTTAGATCTGTACAATTTCATTTTTGATATTTCATTTATTCTTTATGGTTTGAAGAATAATGGTTTTACTTCAATTGTAAATAAAACTATAATGAAATTTGACGTCTTTCTAGTGAAAAATGTCTTTTTCTGATTTATTTTGACAGTCTCGAGGTTGGACTTTTGAATGAGACAAAGCAAATCCGGACTGCATGTTTGAGAGTGATTCGGTACCTTTTGCCGTACGAAGAGACTCTGGAAGTGTTTCTTCTCCTACGTTTTGATTACCTTGTTGCGAGGTAAGTTTTTCGTCGGTTTATGCATCTGTTATTTTCAGTGACTAGTAGAACAAGGGGTAATGTCATAAGTTTACACTTTAAGCAACGGATGTTTCATTTTTTTGCAACCAAGGGAATAGCAGATACAGTACAGTTATGATCTAAATCTACTTGTCGACCACCGTGGAAAACTATCGCAAAGACTGAAACTCGTCATACAAGTTTCAAAGACAAAATTGAAAAGAAGTTTGTAATTGTATTAACTAGTGATATGTACCTTAACTCAAAAAATAATTTGCCCCTATTTTTCCGCTTGAAAGATGCGCGTCCTGATCTTTTTCTTATTTGGCTGCTGATTCAAATAACTTTAAGAATAGAAGTTTTTTTAAAAGACCTTTCACATACTTATTGTTTGAAAATTTGTTTTACAAGTTTTGTCAGAGCAAAATTGGTTTTATTTCAAGACTTTGAGCTGACTTCTGCTATAAAATGGTGCAATATAGCAAGTTATTCAAGGGTACATTTTAGGAGTTTCCTCATTGAAATTTTTTCCCCCCCCCAGGTGTTTGGATGTGAGTCTGGACAATGAGATTGAAAGAATACACGCCATAAAGCTGATCAGGCAGATCATCAAGACTGCCCCGATGAAGTTCCCCAAGTCATTAGTCTTTGCTCTGGTTGCTATCGGCAACGATGGAGCAAGTGAGCGGGACAGAATGGTCCGCGTCTCCCTCGAGACAATCTGCGAATTAGGTAAAGTTTTGCTAGCGCTCTGGCGTGTGGTTGTAGGTGCGATAGGAAGGTATTACTTCTTTTCTTTACCTCTCTTGTTGTTTGTCTGTTTGTTTCCCTCTTTTACCAGCACTAAATGATCACTCTCGGGTCACAATGCTTGGGTTTTTTAAAATTACCCAGGTTCAGAAAATTTCCCAGAGGTACAGTAAAGTATTATCTTATCATTTATCTTATCTTTTATCTTATCTTCAACTCAAGCTTGTTTTTTGGGGTTGTTTTTTTTTTATAGTAGAGTGTTTTACGGCGCTCGCAACTGCATAGATAGGTCATATGAGCGCGCGGGACACACCTAATATTTTCAGTTGGTAGGAAATTTTTTGAATTTTTGCCCGGGTGGTGGCCATAGCCTACTCTTATCGATTTTAGACCACCAAGGGATCTTTAACGTGTGCAACTTGCACACGGGCCCTCCGAGATTTTTCGCCCTTGTCCGAGAAGGCTAGGTGTAGATCTTTCCTATCAGAAGATCAGGGGTGTGGCTGAAAGACTGCAGTAAGAAGAAGCGAAGGAGTAGCAGTAGAAAGGCTGCAGAAAGAATCAGGAGCCCAGAGGAAGGGGCAAAGGAGGTGACGGGGTGAGGGCAGAAAGTAGAGACGAAAGCAGACGACAGAACATTGCTAGAGAGCAGGAAATGAGGTGAAAGGAGACAAATTTAGAGAAGAAAATTTTTCGGTCGCTACCAGGATTCGAACCCGGGACCTTTTGAGTGAGAGGCCAACACATTAACCTCTAGGCCACGAGAGCCCCCCTCAAACTTGTGTTTCAGACTGCTTGATGATCTTGATTTGATTTTTTTGTTTTGTTTGTTTCAGTAACTTGCACATTTAGCAGAATAGTGTGAGGTGCATGTGTAATAAATAGGTCTATGATATTTTATGGGTTGTCATTATGTTTTGCCTTGTGTTTTTTGAAGTATGCGAAGAAACCTATTTCCTGCGTAGTTGGTACTATGATTTCCATGATTTGTGGTCCGAGTGGTTTTCTGCATTTACCCACTGCCTATGTACCTGCCCTTTATTACAGCTTTCAGAAATGTGGACCTGGTCTCCCAGTGTGGGGGTCTTCAAACACTCATCTGGAACATTCTCGACTGTCACCAATATCCTCGTCTGAACGAGGCCCTCACCGCCACCATCATATATCTCCTCAACCATCCCAAAACCAGAATTTATATCAAGCCTCAGGTCGACATAGAGGTATGGAAACATTGTCTGGAAGTGTTGCTGAAAACTTGGTTCAGAATATATGTATGTTTGTTTCTTATTTTTTGTTATTTTGTAGTAAATCTTTACATAATTTAGAATTTTTTACATCAGAAATGGTCTCTTTGACTCAAGGCAAGTCTTTGTAGCAAAAGCACAGCAGCATTGATATCAATCATCATATCACATATTGTCGGAAAAAACCCAAATAAAACAAAAAAGCATTTTGACTAATGGAGCTTATACAAGAAGAAATTACAAGAACATGCATCTATGGGCCATCAAAATTAGCAATCCCAAAAACTGGATCAGTTGGGCTAACTGACAAGAGGTAGGTCTTGGTTGTCACTATGAGAATGGTTCAGTTACATTTACCCGGCAGTGTTAGTTGAACTTTATAATTTTGTTGTGTATGTCTTTGGTTTGTTTTTTTCACGGAAATGTTTTACTTTTTTTTGTCTTCAGCGATTACTGGCTCCATTTACGGACAGTCATTTCCGGTACAATTGGGAAGATGGAAGAAAGTAAGTGACGAGTCAGCATACTAGCGTTTGAAATTGTCATAGACAGTTACTTATTATTGAGGAGAAGAGTGGATGTCTGAGACAGGTGGCTGTCTTACACAGTCTTTATAGCGGTAAAAAAAATGTAAGTTAAGAAATGTGAAGTGGCTAATTGCACAGGTGATTGTCTTTACAGGTGGCCATTCGAGAAGGTTTGACTGTGCTCAGGTAGCTGATGTTGTTCTATTCTTAGGCTCAGCATAAATTTCAATAAAACTAATTTGGAATAACCCTTTTTTTTCTTTTGTTCAAAGGGCTGTCATGATAGAACTGATACAAGTAGTTGGGGTTTTTTTTCTGAAAAATTTGTACTTCATAATAATAATAACAGATAGCATTTGTATAGCGCATATCCCCGCTCAACAGCAGGCTCTACGCGCTTTACACTATATTATTACCCCAGCAGACCATAGAACACTCCAAAACATTCTCAGCTTCCCGGGAAGCATACAGTGCAAGCAGCTGATTAAGCGCTCAAACACTAACAAACTGACAAGATCTTTCGCTGTCTATAGCTGGGTACCCATTCCCACCTGGGTGAAGTGAGGAAAATTCGTGTAAAGTGCCTTTCCCAAGGACACAACATCGGGCCCCTGACGGGATTCGAAACCACGACCTTCCGGTTGCGAGTCCGAGAGCCTAACCACTAGGCCACCGACGCCACTTCAGTCATTATACAAGTTCTCTGGGGAAACTATTACTTACGTTGCTACAAGCAGACTGGTTGTATGTCAGAATAGTTGTGAGATTATGTTTCAAGTACGAATGTACACGTGCACCACATAATTTCTGTTGTTCTGTGGGATTTCTGAGTTTTATGGGCCTTCTAGTTTCTGCTCTGGTTCTAGTCACAGTGAAGTAGAGTGCTTATCAAAGTTGTTAGAAAAACAAAGGATAAAGATATACTATGACTGCCTCATCTCTTCATTCATGATTTAATGCTTTATATTATGTCAAGGCTGGTGCGTGCTGCACGCGTGTGCAATCCTGCAATATTTTGTTTGTAGCAAGGCTTGCTTTGTATGTCAGTGCTCTCACTCTAAACTGATTTCACCACGTTTTTATCGTCTGTGTACCCACAGTGAAGGATCTTCAATATTCATCGCCAGCAAGATGGCTGTCATAACTGTGATGCGATCTTGGCCAGGTAAGTGTGCTCTCATTCGGAAAAATGATTTGGAATAGCATGTTTTTATTTTTTACGTGATAAACGTAAGTTTTAAGGTTTTTCTTTGTTTTTGCGTAATTTATAGCTTGGCACGATTGAAGTCAGTATTTAAGTTATGGTGCCTGGGGCTCTATACATGAATGCTGAAAAGTTAGCGAGAGAACATTTTCAAGTGAGGAGGAGGAGAAGGAGGACAGAAGGGGAGTTACTTCTGCTGTTGCTTTTGTTATTTTGTTTGTTTTTTAATTTTCACATGATTAATACTCTTGTTTCTTCTGGAGGGAATGAAGATGTGTACCATTCTGATTTTATATCTAAGTTGTAAATGTTGGTTGTTTTAGATCCAGTTGTCTAAGTTGTAAATGTTGGTTGTTATAGGTCCGGTTATCTAAGTTGTAAATGTTGGTTGTTATAGATCCGGTTGTCTAAGTTGTAAATGTTGGTTGTTATAGATTCGGTTATCTAAGTTGTAAATGTAAATGTTGGTTGTTATAGATCCGGTTATCTAAGTTGTAAATGTTGGTTGTTATCGATCCGGTTGTCTAAGTTTTTAATGATCTACTTAAACCTAGCGTAAAGGAATTAATGTGGCACTGAAGTGCTCATCATTTCAGGGATGCCACTTTTCCGGGTTTTTTTCCGGTGTTTCCAGTATTTTGATCCTGGTCCGCTATTCTTTTATTGAGATCGAGATAGAATCTAGATCTATAGTTGGGAGAAAAAAAATCCCACTCACACAAGTACATCTAATCTATTTTTCTTTAAATGCTTGTCATTTCTCTCTATGTACACATATTTCTTATATTTGCTCGTCATTTCTCTCTATGTACACCCATTGGGTTTCAAATTGATATTCATGTGTTAGCGAGACAGTGGCGCATGGATCTTCAGCTACTTTCAAAAATATTTAGAGGCATCCCTGTCATTTGCAACTTGGCTGCGTGTATATGGATTGAAAAAGTACATTTCTCATGAGTGGGTACTTGATGTCCTGACAGGCTAGATCTAGTGGTATTATCACTACATTTATAACTGGCACAACGATATTAAAGTATACTGAATATTATAAGATGTTTGATTCTTGTTAAAAAATTGTAGTTAGTGTTTTATGTATATGCATGTTTGATAATTTAAGCATTATCTTTTGGATGATCTCTTTAAAGTCAAAAGCTTAAGAATATGGGATGATCAAGGTGAAAAGGTTTATGAAATCCGTTTAAAGAAGCAGGAGGAAAAATAAATATCATACAATACTAAGAAGCTCAGTCGAGAAATATGCGGTCCTGTGACTTTTCTTTTCATGTTATGTCCCCCCCACGTACCCTTAACCTGCAGATGGTCCTTGTAGTAAGTCCCGCCACTGACACACCCCCCCCCCCCCCCCCCACCCACCACCACGACCTTCCCTCCTTACAGGTCTTATACGACTGTGTCACCCGGAGGGCTCCGGCATGCAGTCCCTCATAGGAATTTTGTACCTGCCCTATGTTGAAATTAGAGTAAGTAAATGTATGTCTTCTGTATGTGGAAATTAGAGTAAGTGATTGTGTGTCTGCTGTGTGTGGAAATTAGAGTAAGTGATTGTGTGTCTGCTGTGTGTGGAAATTAGAGTAAGTGATTGTGTGTTTGCTGTGTGTGGAAATTAGAGTTAGTGATTGTGTGTCTGCTGTATGTGGAAATTAGAGTAAGTGATTGTGTTTGCTGTATGTGGAAATTAGAGTAAGTGATTGTGTGTCTGCTGT